ATATAACCCACTTATCAACTTTCCCGTCTCCTCCCTACCCCCCCCCTCCCAATGGCTTCCACTCTCGCCTCGTTTACCCTTTAGCTCTTTAGATTGAGTTATATTTTTATAAACGACCTCCACGACTCCATTTCCACTGCCTTCGTCTTGACTCTTACTGGTTTAGCCACGGCCTCGCCTTATTTTTTACTCCTAAGAATGAATGATAAGAGCAACAAGCTGCTATGTGACTTTTTCTCTATTCCATAAATAATACCAGTACCGGGTGTCTTAATAATTGAATAACTTCAACAAAACATGAAATAAATAAAAATTCAACCAAATGTGTCCATGTGAAGACATTCAGGATGCGTGTTCGAGAATTACCAATTAGACATTGCCAAGTAAACCCAGGAAAGATGGTGACTATTAAAATGGTATGCTCTAGGTGTTGCCCATTTCTCTCTAGGAGCTCGAATGTCCGTATCTCCTGGTGGAAATTGATGCTGACCCCTGGTTGGTACAATGGATCTCTGAGGCTCTGTTTGAGAGGAAGGTGATGCTGAGAAGTGGGCGATGGATGTCAGACCCAGAAGTGATTGTCTCAGGACTGCCACAAGGATTAGCCTTATCACCGCTTCTGTTCAACATATATACATCCACAACTGCCAGGATCGGTGTAAGTGGAGCAGGAAGAATCCTGACCTCTGCAGATGATGTGATGGTCTACTGACAATGTCGTGATAAGCTACCGGTTGGACGGATGCTACAGGACGGGCTGAGAAAGGTCGCAGATTGTTTTGAGGAACACAATGCGGTCATCAATCCAGTAAAAGCACAGGTCATCTGGTTCTCACTTAAAGATTCTACCGTTCCAATTGTGTTTGACCACTTTCTCAAGGACAGACAGTATGAGTTGGAGTACCTGGAAATCACTCTGGATAAGACACTTTCTTTCCGAAAACATATCGACAACGTTGCTGTCAGGCATCAAATTAGTGAAGACATTTCGCTTCGGTGGGAATTCAATGCAGCTGGTTGTTCTGTCAGTCATAAATTATGGTCTGGGCATCCTCTCCCTATCCAAGACTCAGATAGACGGGTTGGAGATCGTACAAAATGCATCTATGACGGCCGTCTTTGGTTGCACAAAGGACACTCATATTGTCTGTATGAGATACATCCTGGACCTGGCCAGCACCAGAGTGAGACATAAGGTGGCACAGGCAAAGCTGTACTTGAATGCTTTGGGAGACCCGAGGCACCCTTTGCATGACAACCTAAACAGCATCAAAGGAAATAGGATCAAACGGGGCAGCTCAGGGACGACAGAAGCTGAAAACTCCTTGAGGAAAGTTTGTGGCACTGATGAAATGTGCAATGGAAAGGAATGGTTTGAACTGAGCCCCGATTGCAGAAGCCTGGTCAAACTTTCACTTCACTATGGGTCGTGAAAGACAGGAATGGGCAGCTGTCAATAACTACAATGACATACGACATTTAATTGAAGAGTACTGTAAGCCAGAGGGCCCAGTGATCTACACAAATGGATCAGTCAGAAGGGGTGAGAGGAGTGGCTGGGGTCTTGTAGTGTAAAGTGGGAACTAACAGGTTCATAGCATGTCAGGGGCCATAGAAAGAACAACTTAAAGTAAGAAAATAGAGATTGAGGCCGTAATAAGAGCGCTTGGCTGGCTTCAAAATGCAAGTGCAAGACCAAAAACTATCCATCTCATTATTGTCACAGACTCCAAGAGCATCCTGCGAAGGGTTGAGAAAGGGCTGCTTCGGAGTAAATTGATGAACCCAATACAACACACATCACTTAGAGCCATCACGTTGAACACAGGATTGAGGGGCAAAGACGAGACTGATAGGATGGCAGGCAGTGCCGTGGTTGAAATGTGAGATGAAATTCGACTAAGGAAAAATGTTGAAGACCCTGGAGGAAAAGTTGCGGGATGAGGAAGACAGGGAGACAGCAGAATACCACGCAATCATGAGGATGCGGGAAATGGGGATAGAGAGGGGAGAAAGAAGAAAGGAACGATTATCTGGAAAGGAAAGACGTCATCATAATCAAACTGTCACTGGAACAATTAGTAGGGATACTTTGCGGCTTTAGTGCTGAGAGGAACTCGATCATTATGGACCTGTCCGGTACACAATGACGTTGTTGCAAGTAACAAGTAACAAGAATGTGCCTCTGGAAATTTTGGATAACCCTGTGGAATGGTTTCTGTGTTGATTCTTTGCACCTAATGCTCAACTGAGTTTCAACAGTTCGTTTGTGGGGGGGGGTTTGCACTTTGTTCCCATAGACTTTGCTTGTCAAAGAAAAAATCTTAGGAAAAAAAAATAATAACAATAACTTTACCTACTTTACTTTTACTTTTATCCGCCGCTTATACCCTTTTGGGTGCCGCAGGAAGAAAGAGACGTCTCTCTGCCACCAGCCGGAGAGCTTGGGTCAGGGGGATGCCGTGGATGGTTAATGTTTCCCTGACTCCATCTATCCAGGTCTTTCTCGGTCGCCCTCTAGCCTTGTTGCCATCGAATTTTTTTTATGTAGGCATGTTGGATGGTGTGTTGGTAAACGCATGAGATGTCCGAACCATTTGATTTTTTGGTGTTGGATGTGATGCATGACATCATTTGTGACCACCATTTTTCTGATTACTGTATTTCTAATTTTGTCACGCCTGGTCTTGTTTACTGCTTTTCTAAGGCATCGCATTTCACATGTAATTCTTTGCTCTAATGCCTTGTTCGTGGTCCGTGTTTGGCATTGGTAGGTGAGTGTTGGGATGAATATGGTGTTGATCATTTTGAGTTTTGTTGTCATGGGGACGTTAGGATGTTTCAGTAGTGGAGTAAGCTGGTAACTAACATTATTGACCTTTTGTAATCGTGTTTAAATTTCTCTGTTCAGTCGCCCATCCTCTGTGAATATACTTCCGTGGTACTTAAATTCTTGGACTTGTCTGAGACTGTTGTTGTTGATGTGTATCCTGAGTGGTCCTGCCTTCTGCTTACTTTCATTGTCTCTGTTTTGTTGATGTTCATCTTCATGTCATAGTTGTTGCATTCTTCGTTTAATTTGGTGGTGTGGTGTTAGAGACTTCGTTCATCTTTGTGGGTCAGGCGTTGGTCATCCGCAATGAGTACATGTAGTTCATTTAGGGCGTCTGGTTCTGTGTTGGCATCTTTTGTAATATATGATAAATAGTAGTGATGATAGGACACAACCTTGTCTTACTTCGGATGTTATCTCGAACCATTCTATGAGTCCCTCCGACGTTCTTACTGTACTTATGCTGTTCTCGTAAATGGCACGGATGTTATCTAGAAGTTGACCTCTTACAGTGTAGTTTAGAGTTCTTTCCATGGATAGCTTCTTGTTTCTGTTCACTGTGTCGAACACTTTCTCCTGGTCGACAAATACAATGTTTAGTTCCCTGTTGTGCTTTATTACCCTTTTGCACATTTGTCGTAGGGCAAATATTGCGTTGGTGAATCCTCTTCCCTCTTTCTAAATCCCATTTGGGCCTCACTCAGCGGATCATTCATTGCTAAAAACACAAAAATAGAAGAAAGAAACGAATATCAATAGCAGCAATAATTATTATTATAACAATAATAATAATAATTGACGGGGTTCAAGTCGTGGGAAAGCAGTGACCACTCACTTCTTCTAAGCTTTCGGCTTATAAGGTGTTCCCCAAAACCTTTCTTGCGCCCATGCAAGGGCCGCTCTTGATGTATGTGATGCAGTTTAACCATGCTGGAACCAGGCCTGGTCAATAGTATCTTCTCCTCCCCAAACTTCTCCAAAACTTTCTCAGCAGGTGTGGTTGTGATGAGAAGGAGGTCGTGGTTTTTATCAATTTCTTTCTGAAACCAGAGCGGCCCGAATATGCGCCTGCAGCAAAGAGCACTTATAAATTTAAGAAGTGAAGTTTTGCATTTTGCTCAATTTTGGTTGAATTTTTTAAAACTTGATATTCAGGTAGGGAAATAGAAGAGAGAGAGAGAGAGAGAGAGAGAGAGAGAGAGAGAGAGAGAGAGAGAGAGAGAGAGAGT